GCGGCGGGAGTTTGCCGCCCTTCATGTTTGCTGCAAGCACGGCAGTGATCCGCAACTTTTCCTTTCCACCGGTTTTGATGGCCACCTCTTTCTGACTAGTGTGCTGCGAACGACAAAAATAAAGCAGACAAGGCGTGGCACACGCAGGGCGTCTTCAGGAATGTTTGGCTCCCCCAAGTGTGGAACCGGCGCCCGGGTCGCGATGGGGTCCTGGGCAACCACCGCCAGCCGGACACGCTGCTATCGTGGGACGATTACACCGTGCACAAGACAGCCCTGTGCAAGGAAGCGATGGACAAGTCCAACACGACGCTGTTTTTTGTCCCCGGAGGCCTAACGCCCAAGATCCAGTCTTGCGATGGACTTGTCAACAAGCTGTTCAAGTCCAACATGTCCAGGCTGTACGACAACCGCATGGCCTCCACCGACGCCGTGCGCAACGACCGCGGCTACCCGGATCCCCCATCGAGGGGACTGCTCGCGCAGTGGGTGAAGAAAGCGTGGGATGAAGTGGACTCTGAGAGCATTCGTTCGAGCTGGAGGAAGGCTGGCATGACCCTTGCCTTCNCACCGCCAGCCGGACACGCTGCTATCGTGGGACGATTACACCGTGCACAAGACAGCCCTGTGCAAGGAAGCGATGGACAAGTCCAACACGACGCTGTTTTTTGTCCCCGGAGGCCTAACGCCCAAGATCCAGTCTTGCGATGGACTTGTCAACAAGCTGTTCAAGTCCAACATGTCCAGGCTGTACGACAACCGCATGGCCTCCACCGACGCCGTGCGCAACGACCGCGGCTACCCGGATCCCCCATCGAGGGGACTGCTCGCGCAGTGGGTGAAGAAAGCGTGGGATGAAGTGGACTCTGAGAGCATTCGTTCGAGCTGGAGGAAGGCTGGCATGACCCTTGCCTTCGATGGATCTGAGGACGAGGCGTGGGCCAACAAGGAGCTCAACTCCGACGCCCAAGGGAAACCACTTCGTGCAGACGGCGACGCGGCCGCTGCCGGCGTGGAGGAGGCTGGCCCATCGGAGGAGGGGGAGACGATGGCCGACTTGTTGGGGGTGTTGGAAATCGACGACGATGACAGCTCGGGAGATGGCGAAGGCAACGATGACTCGGAAGTTGAGTTCATGGCAGACTTGCCGGGGGCGGACGTTGTTTGCATGGATTGAGTGTCTTGTCTGGTATCTACCTACCGTAGTTGCATGCCATGGTCAAGTCAACCAAAGCTGCTATTAGAGCCAATTTGTCCTGTGTTTCATATATTTCGGTAGACTAGTCGCTTGTCCTCTTGGTTTCTAGCTTTGGTTGATATGTAGCTGGCACTTGCTTGCGTCCTATGTGGTTCCAGCTTGAGTGGTGAACGCAAGTCTTGCAAGTGATTGCGTCGTCCAGGTACCTGTTTGCTGTCGTTTTGTCGCACACAACACCGACACAACCGCGATGAGGTATCGGTACTACGTCTTCGTTGTGTACGTATGCGAAGAATTTCCAAAGGATAATAATGCGAAAATGCACGTGGGAAGGCATGCACGTGATGGAGTGGTGTGAGCCACCCTAGCTATCACACCTGTTTTACACCCCTTCACGCCCTTTGTAGGTGGGTGCCTCCTTTGAGCGCACTGAAACACTCGGGCGACATTATCACACCCCCGGCAGGCCGGGTCCTGTGAGCGCGNATAATGCGAAAATGCACGTGGGAAGGCATGCACGTGATGGAGTGGTGTGAGCCACCCTAGCTATCACACCTGTTTTACACCCCTTCACGCCCTTTGTAGGTGGGTGCCTCCTTTGAGCGCACTGAAACACTCGGGCGACATTATCACACCCCCGGCAGGCCGGGTCCTGTGAGCGCGTATCATCACACGGGTGAAGTTATCACACCCTCTGTAAGCCGGGTCCTGTGAGCGCGCTTCATCACACGGGCGACGGTATCACACCCCATTGTTATCATACCCCCTGTTGTTGAGACTCTGTGAGTGCACTTTATCACACGGGTGACATAAGATATCACACCTCCTACAGAATACCACACCCGTGTGATAACTTTTGTCCCCCCGAAAATGTTATCACACGGGTGTGGTATCTTATGCAACCTACGGTATACACACACACCGACATGGACAAGCTCTACCTCCCTGCAGGGTAAAGGTTCGAGCCATCGCATGTGTTGCCGCTGCCCTCAATGCTCTTGTCCCGTACAGAGTCCTGCAACGCTTACACTTCCAGTCTTCGAACGCCAGGATTCCCTACTCGTCCTTTACCGCAACACTACTTCATTCGCCCCCCCAACGTATCAAAATTGTTTTCAAGCACCACCCATTTTTTTTTAGTGCCAATCGTTTTAACGCAAAAAACAGCGTCACGCCGAGCTTGCCACTCAGCACTAGAGTTCTACTAAGGCCCTCCCAGCTGATGGATCTCCCTGGCAGCAAAGGCATCATAATTTTCACCCAAAAAGAAAAACGAAGGGCATATCCTTTACCTTTCCAGTCTCAATATACCCCGCCCGGCACGGTAATCAGCATCTATGTGAAGCGCGCCAGCTACTCCGGTACAACCAACTAAATTTTGCTCTACATATCGCGTATTGATTATCACAGATAAAATTGGGATATTCTACATATCGCTCGGGAATGATCGTTTGAAAACCTCCAGATACAAACCCTGCGCCTACCCACAGGAACATACACCGACCGCACGCGAAGAAAAACAAAGCACGAAATGTCGAACCCAAAAATAAAAAAAGAAAATACCTTGACTCGTACTGGCCAGCAATGGTTTCTTCAGGCGAGGGACAAAGTACCAAATACGCCAGTGTCGTGCCAGCAGCTGTGCTTCAAGTACGAGAATGTCCCGGAAGCATCCAACAAACACACATGCATTTGCATCGATATCTCTCGTAAGGAACGTGGGGTTAATGCGCGAGCGTGGTGGCTGAGCTGCGTTCTTCTTTCTGCGCAACAGATGATGGCGAAAGAAGTCCTTCCGCATGTGAGCATGCCCCCCAACAGGGTACCACCTCCAAAGTAACCGTCTTGTGTCCGTACACGAAGCGTGACTGTCTCCGAAGCTCCCGACGGTAGTTCATCTTTCCCCCCCCTCTCCGTCCGTTATTGGTGCACATAATTATGCTCCCCACGCGGTTCTCGCTCACGCTCGGGTCGGCCATGGCCATTCTCACATGAAAAAAAATGCGTCATGCAAGAAAAACAGGCTTGTTTCTCGTATTTCCCCAGCAACTCCACGATTGGTACCACGGCCTTCCCCGCCGTGTAGCTTTTGCCCCCTTGCGCCCGTCGGCACAGAGACGCAGAAGCCCTCCCAGCACAAAGCAGATCGTGATTGGCCAAGGCCCAGCCGATCCTGCAGGTTGCCTTGCTTAGACATCCCTACTCTGGCCATGCCGTACCCGTCGCAGCGGCCTCTCCCGTCAAGCTCCTGGAGCCAAAGCCCGGCTTGGTGACAAAACTGGAACAGTCTCGTCCGACGGCGCGCAAGTACCCTTCTCGTAGGTGCTGCACAAGGCTTGCCACCGAGCCCTTTAGGTGATGAGGAGCGCGGAAGTGTGGGCAACGTGATGAAGTGATAATTCAGCGAAAATACCTTCAGGTACGTTTAGGGGAGGTCGGCAAATGCTGAGAAAAACTCAACTGGCGCATGGCGATTATGACCATGGGTTTCCGATGAACTGGGGCTCCACCGACTCCCCCCTCAGCTGTCTCCTCCGAACAAAAAAACAAAACAAACCGTAGCCCCCACTGAAGATGCATGAAACGATACACTCTGTCTTTACTTATGATCCGCGCTGCATACAAATAAATGGGAAAGGTAGCTATACCTTCTGCCGACACACGGGCGAGAGAGGCGACCATACCCACTGCATTTAACACACACCCACATGTCAGTGATGAAACCCCAACCACACGCCTCTATTGGCGGCCCCGTCAGGAGGCAATGATGAGATAATGTCCTCCCGTGCCCTTCTCACATTTAACGACATGCCATTACACGACAAGGCAAATATGTTCTCCCGCGCCGCACATACATGCCCCCATACATCACAAACAAAAAATATGTTGATGACGAAACTATACACACCCCGAGACGTGCTTGCTCCGCAACCACATAAGGGTGCTATGATAGAACACCCGACAAACCGAGTTCCCCTAAATCTTCCGTCTACAACTTCCCAACATAACCTACAGATAGATACACAAGATGGCTACCAAACTGCCTTGTTGAGCCTGTTACCCACAGGGGAGATAAGTTTGTATGCTGTCCGGGAAACCGTAGACACACAGGTAGCCTTTCGCTCACGCTATGGATTCATTGCTAACCTATTTTAGCCTTATTTCTATAGATAGAGATGGGTTTGTTGTGTGATGTATTAAGAAAAAAACAAAAACAGAACCACCTCACACTCATATGTGCTACCAAGCTCTCTCCATCACTTCCTCCAACTCACCCCCTCTCTCCCTCCATCGTTCTCCACTATCCATCAATGTACCTATCTGCATAACTTCATACAGCTCAACATTGCGGCTGTCCATGCATTTACCACCTACTCGAAACTGCTATTCTGCAGAGGAAGCAGGTACGTGGGCTAATCGAATACCGGTTGATCAACAAAAACAAACAGCACAAGTGCGCTCACAACGCGAACAGTAGGCCAGAGGGTCTCTTGTGGGCGTAAATACCTTCTTCGCGAGAGTTACCGTGCAGCCCCCAAACCCTCCCCCGGTGAGCCTCGAGCCGAAAACTCCTTCCACCTCCATGGCAAGCTCAACCAGGACGTCCAGCTCGGGGCAGCTAACCTCGTAGTCCTTAGGGTCACGGTTATGGTTGGGGTAAGGGTTAAGAACACGCGGGGTCGCGGACCAAGAATCGTCGAGAAATGCGGCCCCGGCACGCGTGGCGATAGCAGTGGGGAGACGCCGATGGCATCGCAAACATGTACGGGACAGGACATAAACCGGCAAAGCAGCGTCTCGCCGGATTACACGCCGTGTGGCTTAACACCCACAAACGTGCAAGCACACGAAACACGAGCTTCACTCGTACAGCGCGGCGACTAGTTGGCAAACGATATTTCGCAAGAACTCCGGTGTTTGGTTCCTATATTGAAGCCGAATCGAAACAGTAGACTAGTCAGCAGCTAGTGTTTATGGATTGATTTAGCTTCTAAAAAAGTCAGTCCAGGGGTCCGAACATCCCAGCACTTTCACTCCGAGGAGGGTTGAACCAAATGGTTTCATTTTCGGCTGCTGGATTCGCAACGTATCTGTCGACGGGCAGACACCCCGCAACTTTTTTGAAGGGATGAACAGCCCTGTTTTGTGGCTCCAAACTTCCCACCTTCAACGACGCCGCACTCGATCTCGCACGAGTAATCCCAAGAGCGGCGCGAAGAATGCCAAAACGGTGAAGCTCGCAAACCGTGCCTTCATCAACATATAACAAGCCGAATCACAGCCTGATGTTCCATACACAAGTCCACAGCAGGTTTCGACAAGACACAACGATGTCCTTTCTGCGGCCCCACCAAATCCGAAACAAAATCGTGCAATACACAAGAAAACATTCATCGAGGAGCAAGTACCTCGCGCAAACTCCTGTGGCTGTCCAGCATGAGCTGCCCGACCTCCTGGTAATCCCCGCTCGTGAGCGCCCGCGCCGCGGTAACCGTTCGAGCATTCTCGGACACCACGTGCCTAGCGCGGCGGAATACCGCGTCCTCTACTCCGGCCTCTATGGCGTCCACCTTGCACGCGCACCGCGAGTGCCGAGGGGAGTGACGCAGGTCGGCTAACCCCGAAGGGTGTCGAACAGAGGTAGCGGGCTCGCTTTGTGAGCACCACAGAAATCGTTCCGAAATTCTTCGTGGAGGTGAACATCAGCACAAACAGCTCACCGCTCGACAAGGAAGACAAGAAAAGCGTGGTATAGGGTACCGCTACCAACGACCAGGGTACAATTCTCAGAACCCAAGCGACGGTAAAAAGCTGTCGGGGAAAACGCGAAGACCGGCCGGGGTGGCAAGTCACATGCACGTACGCTGGAACAAACCTCTGGATCTAGGCTGCCGTTCATCTATCACGTGGTTTGTCTCTAACGCAACAGCATACAAGCCACAGACAGTACGCGACACGTCGATCCTGGTACAGTACCTGCTCCGGAGTGGCGTCTCTCAGGAGTTGCACGTCGGGGTGGCTTTTCTGGAGCTCGTCTCTGGCCGCCTGGCACTGCGCCACTCGAATCGGGTACTGTTGGGCGGCGGATCACGCGCCAAAAAGTATCACTTAACGGGCGTGTGGGGACGCGGTCCGCCTTGATTGGCCGTCTTCAGCTAGGCTTCCTATCGGGCACAGCGCCGTTCTTGCGGACGGTGGGGGCCGGAGATACATAGAGGTGATGCACGACAACTTACGCCAAACCGCCCCATGCTGATGCAAAAAATAGTGTGCAGCCGACATCACGAAATCCTTGAATATATGTCTGGCGCCAAAGCAGGGGGGGACGGCTTGCTGCCCACCCTGCCCCGCCCGAAGCAACCTCTTCTATCTCCCCCCTCAGCCAAGATGTGGGGGCTGCTACTCCACTGCTACTGCAATCACCGCTATTGGCAAAGCAGTATTTGCATGTTGTAGGAGGATGTCCAGAGAAAGGTGCACCCGGGCAGACCAAAACCGGCGCACGCGGCCCAACGATCTTGGGGGACGAAAAGAGCATTTGTTAGATATCTCCTGCCGGGCACTGCTGCTACCGAGTCGAAAAACGTGAGCACCAGAAGCGACTCCGGCCGACAGACTTCCTCAACAGGTCAGTTTAATCGATTGCCGAAACTGAGCTTCTTCCGCACATATATGGTCATGAGACTACCCAAACGGGTTGGTTTAACGCATATCCAAATCCGAGCTCCTGCAGTGAATCTGGCCAGGATAATTCCTAAAAAAGGAGAGGCATCGCGCGCACCTGGCTGCCGGCGAGGTTGTGCTTGACGTTCGAGTTGGTGACCACGACAACTAGGTTCGAATCGGACAGGGGCACGGCGTCGGGTTCCTCGCTGCGGCAGTCCAGCAGCATAGCGTGGCCTATGGGGTGTTCGGGAAAACGCGAAGGAAGGAAAGGCGCGGATTGACAAGAATCGAAAAGAAGTCATCATCGACGGTGCATACGCGAACCAAGGCCGGGGATGGGTGGGGGCACGCGGGACAGAATTTCGGGCGTCCAACACAATGATCGAGAAAACGGTGTTGGGGCAGCAAACGAAAAAACACAGAACAACAGTTCCCTCTGGGCTCACGCGGAAAACCAAGCTGGCACTAGCCAAGTAGAGCTAGCTGCCTTAGATGGTACCGTACGAAGCGTTACTGATCCACGCTTTCTTGGCCGACTGTGGATGCTCGTAACCAAGAGAGGTATCACCGAGCTATGTACACACTAGAAAAAATTTAGACAAGATCCTTTCCAAAGTCCACAATAGTAGGTGTCGATACCCGCTTTCTCTGGCAGTGGGGCAACCGAGCCATCATGAGAGTCGGTCTGTCAAGGGTGTGCGACAACTCCCACCCTTACGGTGCCGACATTTTTCCCAGTGAACGGCGGTTCGCAACGTTGCCCTTCGAGCCTGCAGAACACTGCTAGGCGTAAAAAGGCTTGTAGTGCATCATGCGTATTCCCGGAGAAACCTTTTAATAGCTGCCAACCCCGCCTCTCTCTTCGGAATCGCCATCAACCATGAACGATCAAAAAACCTCAACATTAGAGTCCATTTATCGGGCGTCAAAGCAGCATCACCCCGACTGACTACCGTATATGACACAAGATAACGCATCCCCTTGACCAATTTTCGAAGCTCGACTTCTCAACTGCAGGATCAGTCACAGCACCGAAAACGGCGGCGCTGAAACCGTCTCGTCGAGAGCTTTACGAAAATGCATCGTTTTGTTCATGCATCCTCTTCGTCGTGGAGTAATCGAGCTTTGAAAATCGGTACAGGGTGTGTGTTATCTTGTGTCATATACGGTGTTCACCAGTGAGCGAACATGTGTTGACTTTCACCCGACGACGGTTCAATGCGCGAAACGACAGCCCCCATAGCCCTCCTTGGGGATTGAAAACCTGAATGCCCTATCCGCTCGCCGCAGGGGGGATTCTTGGTACCTACAAGTACGATGTATTGCCCGTGTTCAAAGCCACGGAGCCCCCTTGTCGGCATACCATGAATACGACCAACGCCGTTGTCCTTCACCCTGCGTACCTGGCACCGCCATGGACGTCACGAACTGATCCATGATGCCGCACGGCATGTTGAGGAACTTGTGCTCCGCCATGCGGCAGAGGTGCGCCTTCTCCTGTCCAGTCAAGCCGACAAGGAGATAGAGAGAAACAAACAATGGTATTCCGACGCAGGTGGGAGTACACAGGCGGGTTGCACATGAGAGAAATTCTTGGAGCCGGTGGGTCGATTGGTTGGGCGTCCCAACGGGTGCTACATCTAGGAGGGCACACGGCAGTATCCCACAAAATATCGCGAAGGTAACGCCATCGAAAAACGCTAGTATCGTCATTCCAGACGTTCTCCAAAACGCCCGAGAAATTTTTGATCTGATCCCCGGAGTGCAACTCTTGAGAAATAACGAGCGAGGTTTCCCGTATGACACCAGCTCAATGCCGTACTGCGCAATAAACACGAGCACTCCCTGCCCCCCCCTCTCCCCACCTCCGCCATGACAACATGTACCCTTCGTCAGGACACTTGAGGATTTTAGTCTGGACTACGGTTTTGGGTGTTAGGGTTAGGCTTTGGGCTTGAAACCCTTTGATCTGTTTCACGTATCACGTTTTATATGATAGCGAAGAAGTAGGGGCTAGTAGGTGTTGCGGGTTACAAATGCCCCTCTATATTTCACACATAGTGTTTATTACGCTAGCGAAGACCTCATCGCCGCTGGCGCACAGCTTCTTTACCTTTGGGGACGGCGGAGTGACCCCAGCGGACGTGAGGACCCCCTGCAGGAAGGAGGCCACGGCCACGGATAAGGACGCCGAGCTTGAAACGCCTCCCCCGATAGGAACACTCCTCACCACGGTAACGGTGAACTCCAAGCGCTTGCCTTCCGGCACCTGGACAAAACGATTCGGCATGCAACAAAACAGATATACGCGTAAGGGGGGGGAATAACTTCCCTGTAGTAACGGGACGGCGAGGTTTGCCGCTACCTTCCTCTGCTGCTCACCGACGAGCCTGTTAGGACCCAGGTAGGCGTGTTGTGCGTCTAGGTTGGAAACAGGAAGATCCTCTTGAAGGGTACAATCGTTTTTCACGCCGAAGGTGAACGGACCATGGCCCCCACCCTGTCGACCTCTCCCATGACCAGCGCAAGCATAAAACAAAGTCCAAGTACCGTAAGAGAGATGGCACCTCCCCCTAGATCGATTTCTAACGCTCGATTTTGCTCCGCAACCAAGGATTGCGCTACCACACCAAAAAATGTGGTTTGGAAAGCATCTCGTCAAGGGCTTCCCACACGTATCGGGTGCTTTCCGCACTCCCTTGGTTGAGGGGCGATCGACCTTTCTAAGCCGGTGCCATCTTTGCGGAATACCACGGTATGGTATACGGTACGGTACAATCTTGGTTGAGGGGCGATCAGTCTTTGAACGTCGGTCTAGGGAGGGTGCCATCTCTCCGACTCTTACGGAATACCACGGTACGGTATACGGTGCGGTACGGTACAATCTTGGTTGAGGGGCAATCGATCTTTTGAAAGTCGGTCTAGGGAGGGTGCCATCTCTCCTACTCTTACGGAGTACCACGATGCGGTATACGGTACGGTACAGACAACCTTGGTTGGGGGGCGACCGACCTTTGAAAGACCGTCTAGGGAGGGTGTCATCTCTCTGCCTCTTACTGTCCTACGATATTTCGAACAGTAGTCACTTCAGTGCACACCGCCTCCGACTGGTGCGAACACCTGCACCACCCGTTACAACTACACCCGCGCCACATATCGCGGCAAAACCACGCCTGCTGCTAGCGTAACTACTGCTGTCGCAGATGACGCAGCTCTAGCCGCAGCACACCTTCGGCATGTACTCTTTCACGACGCCCTTGACGTAGTTGGCCCACTCCGGCTCTCCCGGCGCCAGAGACTCGTCGGCCCGGAAGCTCACGTCCCCGCCAAGCTCGCCCGCCTTCCTACCCGCCTTGTCCTCGGACTGTTGCTGCTGCATGGTCTGCGAAACCACGCGGCACAAGCCCCTGTCGCTGCCTTCCGCTGTCGCCTCGCCAGAGTCCACCTGGCAACGACATTGAGAAGGAGGGGGAAAATAAGCCGTTTCGCAATGTGAGGGAGCGTGTACCTCCATGGCACGCTGGGAGGGTTTGTTCGGAGCTAGTGTAGGGTGCGTGTTTGGAGAGCGCGCAGGGTCCGACGTCGTGAATGTCAGTGGCGATTCCTCGTGTGAACACACACAGGTGGGATGGATGCCATTCATAACAGCTCGCTCGCGATGCAATATTCCGTCATGTTCCCGCTACACTTCACCCCCTAACCTTATGATCCACACTGGTATCGTAGTCTAGGTGCTGCTGCTACAAACAGGGCTCTCCGCGAGTGCGTGTCGGGCATGGTGGGGCCACGCTCGAACAAGACAGACAGTCGCGTATCAATGCCCACCGCAACACACAAGGAGACACAAGCAGTTGTAGCCCATCACAACATCCCTGCAACACACACAACAGCATAGACTATTGGTGAAATTGAGAGCGAAGCATCTCATTGAGAGCGAGATTGCGTGATGCGCTGCAGCTGGACTACTGCTGAGAGGTGGAGCTTGTTGTGTAGCTTGAATTGAAAGGCCAGCCCGTAGCTACAAGCAGATACCCTGGTCATCCTGTGGGAGTCTCTCGATGTGGAGTTACAGCGGCGAGCAGAAGCTACAGCAGAGCCCACCGCCCGAGGCCAAACCGCCCTACAACAGTTTGAGGAGGGAATAGCCAATCTGGGGAAATCTAGCAACTTGTCTAGCTCCTAGCTGCAGCATCCGATCGCGATGACACGCATATGTTCGTGACGCTGCTGATGAGACCTTCAATTTGCGCCGCTTCTTGGAGGAGCCCGCCCCCTACTTCCCAAGAAATGGCAAGAGGCGTCTGGACCCGAACTTTACTTCTTTGGCTCTCGCTCTCAATTTCATGCTTCGCTCTCAATTTCACCGATATGTTGCTACACAGTGTGCGCGGTGTCCAAGACAGCGAATCCCCCAAACCTCGTGCCGCACTACTGGCACACGATCCGCGACCAAAACAGCACTCCGTCCACGAAACCGGAGCAGGCCCAAGCACACCAGGTCCGCAACATGCGCCACGCAACTATGCATACCGCACGGGTCCATGGCACGCCGAAAACAACACCCGACCAATAGCCCAAGCCCTACGACACACCGCCTTCCACACAGCACACACACAAAAACAGACCACGCCAATAATGTGTATCTTGCTGCTCTTTTCCCCCTCTCACCAAACGGCCGACGCCGTACACCACCGTGCCGCGCTCGAGCGCCAGCGGCAGGACGAACCCCCCCTGGTAGTCCGTGTGCTCCCCGATGAGGTTCACCCGGCCCGGCGCGTACCCGGCGCACACCTGCTCGCTCCCCCATTCCGTCCCGGCCGCCGAGGCGTGCGCATTTTTCGTCGTTGCGAGTTGTTTTCAAACTCGAAAAAATGGGGGAAAACAAGATGGAGTGTCGCCGTAGATATTGACGGCCGTGATTTCTTTCGGCCGGACAAAAGTCGGGAAGAAAGCAAGATGAGAATCGTCGTATGTTGTTGTCGTCGTGATCTTTACTAATCGGATTTTGTCGGACAATCGACGGAAAGAAAACGGGGGAAAGAAGACGAATGACGACGACGGCAACGACAACGGCGAATTGAACGGCGGGTTTACGGTGGGCGATCGGGCCAGGCGACTGCGAGAGGGAGCGACACTCGAAACACCGGCCCGCCAGCCGTTGTTTCGGGACAACGTGAGTGCGCGTAGCGGCCTTCTGAGATCGGAGCACAGGGGTAGGTGCAGCAAGAGAGGCTGCGTGCAACGGTCCTCCTGTGGAGCCCAAAATCCAAGATGCGGCTCGCGGCTGTCATCCAAATAAAACGAACAGCCACAAAGGAGACAACGGTCTTCAATTCTCGCAAAACGCGCTATCGCGCTCGTTGTTTCTGTCTATACACTGTTACACCAAGAAAAAAAATATATATACTTTGTGTAAGACGCACGTGTCGGACATCCTCAGGAGGGCCGAAAATTTCGTCGTAGAGTTCACGGGCCATCACCAAGAGCTCTCCCGCGGTTGGCACCCTGTACGATAAAAAAAAACGCGCACAAACCGAACAACAACATGTTGACAACAAAAACGAGGGCATCGAGTGCCCGAGCAGCGAAGAGTTCGCGAGGGTGTCTGCGGCACATTCGGTCGTGCGTTCCTCCCGTTCTCGATCACCCGAAACAGGGAGGGCATACTAGGCACGCACTTGTCACGCTATCAACGGAAAATTCTTGTAACGAGATATGCAGCTGCTCGTACACGTCAACGAAACGTCTCGTGGCAGAACTGAGTGACCAATCGTCTTGCATCCAAGAATGAACAGTTCGGCCACGAGCCCTGAATACTTTCTCCCCGCACCTCTCTTCAACTCCCCGCTCCTCCACCGCCGACACCGAGCGGTCATCGCCGTGCTTCGGCCCACCATCGCCTGCCCCCTCGGCCTTATCGTGGGGAACACCCGCGGCCGCTGCTGCTGCCGCTGCCATGCCGACCGACTTCGACGCCAGGCTGGTGAGGCTTCCGCGGCGTGCTGAGATCTCGGCCTGGTTGGCCAATATCGCCGTTGACGTCCACGTTACGATCGTGACAGAAGATACAGCGCAAAACAGAAAAACGGTCGTGAGCTTCCAGCGCGAGCTCGTGCGGTACACTGAACAATGGAAAAAGAACTGCTGTGGATGGTGAATTGCGGCTGCTACGTTAGCTGCTGCCGTTGTGCACATGAGACTTTTGGCAGTGAAAATCAAACAGAGTTGTAGCGAAGGCAGCACTAAGTGTTGAATACTGTGGTGCTGTGAGATCGGTAGGGGCATAGACGGTTTCTCCTCGCCACCATGACACCACCATGACGTCACCATGACGTCACCATGACGTCACCATGACAAACATAAGCGCCGCGGGAAAACAGAGAATCACGTTCAAGATATACCACGAACACCGCCGGGCACAGCAACACAGTCAACATTAAATTAGGAAACAAAACCAACTTTTTTGGTTATGGTAGAGGGAGTTCCACGCAAGGCGGGAAAAGAGGGGACGGAATTCAGGTATAACCGCACTTGCGAGCGCGAAAACTATGCATGTGTACCCCACCCCCTGTCCGGGCCTTACCCACCCAAGCTCGGCCTTCGCTGACCTTCGCTCCTAGCGCCCCCCTCCATTCGTCTGAAGGCATGCCCATCGAGCTAGAACCCCGCCCTCGCTTCGCCCCCGCCAGGCCGCCGCCGCCAACGCCGCCCCCCTCGCCTCCCCCGCCCGTCTTCATCGCCGTCCCGCCATCGTTGATCGCCACAACGCCTCCTACACGACCCCGAGCAAAGTTGTAACGGCCGCCGCCGCGACGGTCGCGCGAAGCGGTCAAGGTTGTGGCGCCGCCGCCGTCGCAACTGCCACTTCTGCCGGTCGGATAGAGAAACGATCCCCCCCTGTCGGGCGCGGAGGCGAGCAGGAGCGACAGGAGCAGGAGGGGAGGGGATGCCAGGAATTCCCCGGGGCGGACATCTTTCCGGCGCTTGCGGTCGCCCGTTGCCGCAGTCATCGTAGCAGCCAAAACCTCCGATCGCCTGTGGACAGATGCGCCACAAGCCAGAGGTTGAGAGTGCGGTGTTGGTGCGGGGGTTCCGACTGGGGTTTGCATAACAGGAGGCCATGCTACATCACGGCGGTGGGCGGGGGGGGTGAGCGCGTGATCGCCGGGCGGGACAAGAGAGAGGGCGTATCCACATATTGATTGGGCTCCGGTACGGTGCGGTTGACCACGCATTACGTAGGGCACGGTTCCTACGGATGCCACCAGCTCTTCACGTTCCGAGATACTGCTGTGCTTCCCACAATATTTCTTGCTCGTGTGTGGTTCCCTTAGCTTTCACGTCGGGTGGCCACGACCCATTGCGTCACGTTGTGTGCATTCAGAGCTCGCTTCTTATTCCTAGTGGCGAACGCATACGAAGACTGAACACAGACTCGTTGACCTTGCCATTTTTGGTTCAGCGACGCTCGCTGGGCTCTTCGAGTGAAGCTTAAGCTTTATCAGCGGAGCTGCTCGAGCTCGGCCAACGGCACAACTGGCAACTGTGGGCAGATCCCGTTACTTGTTATCATCTCCGTCTTGCCTCGCCCCTTGAATGACGCTGCTGTGCTCCCATGAGCCCACGCCCGAGGAATCAACCCCTGGTACCAAACATGAAGTGTGTCACACCCATCTAATGTCCTCGACCATTTTCATTTTCGCGAAACATTCTCAGCGGGTAGGCGCGTGTATATAGTTGACTGGCCCCGTCTTCAATCTTGTGCCACATAGGAGGTCTTGAGCCGGCACCCCCTGTCCTCGCGTACAATCAAAGAGTAGTTGTAGAGTAGTAGTAGTAGTTGTTGTTGTTGTTGTCTTCGCATTAAAAACCGTTTCGGTTTCCGCTCAGTACCTTCTAATGTCCGAACTGGTCCAACTGACGCGGACGCCTTCCGCGGTTACAAGCCATCTGCCCCACCAACGGGGGGGTACATCAAGTAGAGAGAATCATTCTCACACGCCGCAATTGATAGCTTTATGTAGTATTGGTCGAATATGTGTGCGATTGCGATTGCCTGCAGACAACAACTGCTGTGTGAGAAACCTCCTCTCTGTGCAGACTACATGCATGTGTGGTCGCCTGCAGGCCAACTACCGTTTGACCCTTGTGGGATCTTTATCCATAGGTACAGACAGCGGGGTGGGGGTGTACTCATAGTCGTGCATGCCGTAGTCGTTAGACCATTGACCTCGCATCCCTACAAAGCCGGGAC